TACCGGCTACAAATAGGACTTACTTCCTAGGCGCTATCGACGCTTCGTACGATTGCTACTAGCAGTAGAAGCGCTAGTTATCGTCTTACGTAGAGCCTTGCCCGCCGTTGTCTTGCGCGGAGCCTTACTCGCGACGCCCTTTCTAGTACCGGAGCTAGCGGCAGTAGTAGCAGCTATCTTACGTTGATATACTATACTCGTTCCTTTATTTCCGATCTTGTTACGACCCGCAGAAGCAGTAGGTCCCTTCTTACGAGGCGTCGTAACTTAGTTAAGTAGATTCGCTATTATAAAAGTCGTCGAATTAAGGAAAAAAGTGCGTTACGAAGGTGTGCGAAGGCGCGCGCGGAGCGAGGGTGTTGCGGAGGTAGTAGATATAGAGCGTAGAGGTATAGGTATCGATGCGAAGGTTAAATATAGCGAGAGAGGTAGTATCGCGGTATCGCTAGGTAATAGAGTAAGCTTCGCGTAAGCCTACATTATAGTAACGTTAGAGCAAGGAAAGAAGGCAGGCACGGCTAAAAAAGGCAGGTACGGCAGACTTTAAAATATAGCCGGCATATGTGGCCGGCATAGTAATAGGCGAAAGCCTCCTTTTAATAAATAGCCGGCGTAATAATAGTATCCTACTATAGTATAGATATTCTTTAGTAATGCCTTTACTAGCTATAGTAATCTTATAAGTAACCTAGGCCTATTGCTAGTAAATATAAGAAATATCAGGTAGGCTATACTAAACAAGCTATTTATTTAGCAGAAAAAGGCCTACTACCGTCTCTATATGCCGGCTACGGGTGCCGACTATCGCTCTAAATTCAACTCCGCCCTATCTCGGAGGCTAAGGTACCGAGCGGAAACCCTATAGCTTATATTCACTCGGTTGTCGCGGAGCGCTTATAGGTGAGGTATTAGAAAAGAGTATAAAAAGTACGAGAAGAGTATCCTAGGATATAGGTCGTAAGTGAATAAGAGTAGCACGCCTAGTTATTTATATAGTACGTTACTCTATACGACTAAGAGCCTATATTATCTTAAACTTCGCTTGTAAGACCTCGACTCTACTAGTATACTATCGATCTCCTCCTCGGTCGCTAATACGCTGTCTTAATTCTTCTTCGAGTTGCCGGACTTAGTGCGCATCTATAGCTATGCAATAGCGCTACGTATTATAGAGAATTAACTCCGCCGTATCTCGAAGGCTAAGGTACCGAGCGGAAACCCGATAGCTTATATTCACTCGGTTATCGCGGAGCGCTTATAGGTGAGATATTAGAAAAGAGTATAAAAAGTACGAGAAGAGCATCCTAGGATATAGGTCGTAAGTGAATAAGAGTAGTACGCCTAGTTATTTATATAGTACGTTACTCTATACGACTAAGAGCCTATATTATCTTGTGCTTCGCTTATAAGACCTCGACTCTACTAGTATACTATCGATCTCCTCCTCGGTCGCTAATACGCTATCTCAATTCTTCTTCGAGTTGCCGGACTTAGTGCGTATCTATAGCTATGTAATAGCGCTACGTATTATAGAGAATTTCTCGTTGAAGTTTCTCTCTCGTAGGCTTGCTATCTACCTCGTAGTATAGAGGATTAAAGTGCTAATACTAAAGAATCTCCTTATAGTTAGGATGCTAGGGCTCCTTAGGACCTTTGTGTTTTAGGTCTAAATAGAGACGTATTATAAACGTTCTATCGCCCTTTCGCTTACTACCCGCTAGGTCGCGATATACGAAGAAACTAATCTGAATGTAGCTCGTCTCTGTAATAGCCGGGTGAATATAGAGCGCTAGGTTTCTACTTCGTACCTTAGATTTAGGGACGGCGCGGAGATAAAATTAGAAATATAGCCGGCACCTATAGCCGGCAAAACGATGCGAAAATAGGCCTCCTCCTAGGTTAATCTAACGACTAAATACAATTTCCAACTAATCCGCTATAAACCGACGCCGAATTTTAGCTAGAAGCTACATATCTTTATTTTGAAGAGTAACCCGCTTCGTATAGATAGTAAGGAGGTTTGAAAGCTTAAGCTCGGTTACGAGAAATACCTCCGTAGCTTCCTAAAGAGCACTAATCGCCTTAGCCGTAAATCGTATACTAGACCGAAAATCTAATATAATTTCTCGGACGAGTCGCTAAAAGGGAGTCTTAGGGATTAAAAGCTCGGTCCCTCTTTTGTTTTAGAAAAGCCGGATCTAGCGAAGGGCAATAGTACCTAGTTTGAAGCGCCGCTTCTTTGTCGTCGAGTCCTGCCTTATTCCCTTTCTTTTAATAGAAAGATAACTTTTCTTCGCGATAGTCTTTGTCCGCCTACTCTTTTTAGCCTTCTCCTATCTACCTATAGCCTTCTTGTTTTTCGGTACTGTTTTCCGAGGAACCCCCTTCCTTCGTATATACTACGGAGAGCCTTGCTCTTCCGATATCTCGTTCTCGCTACGGTCTCCCTGTGCTTAGCTTGCTTTACCCTTACCCTTTAGCCTCTAAAGATATTCATCTACGCGTTTAGGCGACGAGGGTATATCGGTAGGACCTAGAAATTAATAAGTATATAATCGTAAGGAGACATTAATGCTTCTTACCTTCTAGAACAAATAGTCTTCTATTAAACCGCCTTATTAGGTTATCGTTAGATTCGAATAAAGGATAGTAGCTTAAGGAAGGGGAGGTAGCCGGCTTAGAAAGGCCCGAAGAGCCGAATCCTTAAGGCATATTTGTCTTTAAGAATATAGGGAAAGGGAAGAAGGAGAGGAAGAGCGAATAGAGAATTAGAAATAGTCCGCAGGTAAGCGGGGTCGGTTGCTATAGCAACTAGTCTGTTTAGGTCCTAGGAATTCGAAACATATTTCGGACATATACCGGCTATATACGCCGGCTATATTACCTTATACGTAAACGCTTCGTCTCCTTAAAGCTGCTCTAAGCCTATATACGTTTCCGCTTCTCGATCCGGTGTCGCCTTCTACCTCCGCCCTCCTCCTCTTCGTTATCGCTAATTAGGGTTTCGCTTAGACTAAATTTCGTATTCTCTTCGCGCTCCTAGGTTTCTTCGATCTTAAGGTTTTCTAATTCCTCGATCAACTCCTTTAGTATAATCTTTAGTAACCTGCCTTAGCGATTCTAGTAGAGGAGATAGTATCGGAATACTATAATAGATTCGAAGGTAGTAGGCGAGTATATTCGATTAAAGCGGCCCTAGTAACGAGCGATACTAAAAGACCTCTTATAGCCTATACCTGCGCTTAGGATAGCGAGGACGTCCTAAGCGACCGACGCTATCGTTGGAAACTTAGGCTCTAACCGCTACTATATAGCGAGAATATCGTCTCCGAATTCGTCTAGAAGACCGGTAAGATCTAGAGATTATTAGCCCTCTTTCCGAGCCTACGGGTTTATACTTACTCGCGCGCCGATAGAGATCGAACTCTTCTTTATTTACTTTAGTAGTTGCTTCCTCTTCTGCCTCTACTTCCTGCCTACGAAACAGGTATAATGTCGGAGCCTTCTAAACCTTCTTTTTCTTTATAGGAGCTGCATTTAGACTAGTTTCTTTCCGACGCTTATAGAACATCTTTTCTAGAATAGTCTAGTAATGCTTCGGCTATACCTCGTCCGCCTTCTATTCCGGCCTCTACTAGTATATATCCTTTTCTACCGGGTTAAGCAAGCACGCAACGCTATAGATATCCCCGAACGAGTTAAAGGTAGCACTATAATATTTATACAACTTAGTATAGGAGGTGTCTATAGCTTTCGTTATAGCTACTTTCTAGGGAACGCTCTTCCTAGCTAGCTTAGCTACGGTTTCCTCGAGCTCGTTAAAGAGCTAGTTGTAGTACGTAAAGATAAGGTAGATCGTCGGTCCTCGGGTTCTTCTAATCGTAGCAGTAACCTTCGCGTAATACTTACTAATATCGACGAGATACTCTGCTTAGCGCTATTCGGCGGCAGTAAGGCCGAGCTACTCAATACCCTTAGAACTCTAATAGATCTTGAGAGCGGTACGTAAAGTACATCCCCTCGTAACTATATAGAAAGTCGAATCGAACCGGGTCTTAACGTCTTAGGTAAAACGGAGTAGGCGCAAGGAGGCCGCTTTTGCTATCGCTTATTCTATACGATATTCTAGGCATCGGTTTTAGGGCGCTCGATTAGGTTCTTTTAAATAGCCTCGAATCGGTTATATCTCTATAAGCTCGAGTTCGTATATATTGCTAGACGACGAAGCTAGAGAAAAAGAGTTAGAACTATACTAGGTTGCCGGCTATAGGTGCCGGCTACGGACAAAAGTTATACCTTATATAAAACGAGAGCGAGGCTCTCTGCCTTATCCCGTCTTATTACTATAATAAGTTTCTCGACTTTCGACTTTGCTTTATCCTTATCTAGGATCTTCTATTAGTCGTCGTTTAATAGTGCAATTTTAAGCGTCTTAAAGAGGGCTCGGATCGCGATTTAAACTATATAAGCGAGGCAGGGAAACTTCTATAGGGATGCAACTAGCAACGACGTCGGCTCCGATTTAATAGGGCTAGGGCTATTAATAGGCTCCTCTTTATCGTTATTATCGTGCGTATTGTCGTGCGTATCCGGAATCGTAGCGAGCTTAATATTCGGAAGATTAAGCTAGATTATAGACCTTATAATCTCCTCTACGCACTCGACCCTATCGATACAATTAGTAATTTCAAAGATATATACGAGTAAATTGTATATACAACGCCTTATATAATGTTCGATTATTACTAGCGTTATCCGCAGTAATCGAGATTAGTTTCGTTATTACGCTAACCCTGTCTATTGCCGTATAGACAAGCTTCGCTATATCCTTACTAGTATAGGAACCTAGAATTTCAGGGAATCCGATTATAAGTTCCTAGAGTTTCCAATCCGAATTGATAAAGTATAGCATAATCGAGAGGAAGGAGGCTCTTATAGTCCGGCTTAACTAGCCATCGATAGTAATAGCTACTTAGCGAGTATTACGGAGGATCTCCCGAATGTCGTCTAACGTAGCCTCTTTGTTCTTTTCGAATATAATACGCTAGGTTGTCGCGCCGAGAAATAGGGGAGGGTAGTTTATAAGACATAGGTATATCTTCTATATAGACTCCCTTTCGTAGAAGTCTTCCGGAAGACCGTTTGTAGCTAGTATTTCGTTTGCTAGTTACTTAAAGTCTTCGGGGGAGAAATCGGTAGCCTTCAATCCTAAAGCTTCTTTAAGCGCAGCCTATAATAATTAGCTAGATCTCTACGGTTGATTCAGGTAGCCGGAATCTGTAGCCGGCAGCTATAGCCGGTAGCTATAGCCGGCATTTTAGAAGACATACCTCTTTCTAGAACGCTGTATCTATATTAACTCTCCTCTCTCCTTAAGATTCCCGATACCGTTTAGAATAGAGATAGTTCGTAGGCGATAAGTTCCTATCCCCTAGTTTCGGGTATTTCAAGATTAAACCGTAGAAGTTACAGACAATTACTAGTTAACCTTTAAGTCGAGAAGTCGTATAACGGTGCAATGCCCCCTCTATAAAGAACTTCTAGAATGTGTCCGTTCGCTCCTTACTCCCCTATCGTATCGAGTACTTCCGGAGTTTATACTCCTTCGAACATAAGTATAAAGGGAACTATATCTTATAGACCTATTAATTAAACTGCTCTATATACTCGGGTTTCTAAAGATACGCCTAGCTAGCCTTTTCGAAGATTTCCGGGTTAATACTCGATGTTCTTATATCTCCGAACAACCTTCTGCTTAGACTCCGTAAAGGTAAGGACTAGGTAGTAGTACCCTATAATGAATTCCTACTACTAGGATTCGGAGAGGATGAATCTAGCCCTAATCGTAGTCTAGGACTCGATAGGCTCGAAGGTGAGTATACGACCTCCTCTCGACGTTGTCGCAATCTCGCTCGTATACTAGACTATTTCGACTATCGTCTCGTTGTTACCCTTCCTAGTATAGCGCCTAGTGTATATACAATGTCGGTCGGCATATTTTGAGGTTTCGTACGGTAAGGTAAGGACTTAGGAGTAGTAGATGTGTACTAGTAGCTATAGAGAAACACCCTTTCTTTTATAGCATCGTATCGTTAGGAATAGCTAGGTAGTAAATAGCTAGCTACCTTTTTTTTTTGTTTCCTAGCTACCTAACTACTAGATTTTTTTTCCTAGCTACCCTAGCTAGCCTAACTACTAGAATTTCTTTCCTAGCTACCCTAACTACCTGAATTTTGCCTTCTATACGGCGGCTCTCTCTTACTAACGGAACCGAGCTACTATACCTAACGAATCTAAGCTCGTTTTTAGTCTCAATCTATCCTCTTTCGGTATAAGACACTCGATAAGCAAATGCTTAGGCCGAGTCTAACTACGAAACCTAAGACTAACTAATAGCTCTATCAACTAATCCTAATCCTCGAACTCCTTCCGCTTCTTAGTAAAGACCTTAAAGAGCGCTCGAGCTTCTTCGGGTACCTGCGGAGTAGTCGAGATAAAGCCGTATCGCTGAAATAGGTAATCCTTTAGAGGCTTATATAGAGATTTAGAGAATTCTAACGCTAACCCATCCTACTAGTAGCTTAGATTCCGGATATAAGCCCTCTCTGCCTTAGTAAAGATTTTATATAGCAGTGGCACTCTGCCTTCGAGAAACGCTTTCTGTTTAACTGTTAGTATCTGCCGGCTACGAACGCCGGCTATATATGCCGAGCATAGAATAATTACCTGTACCCCTTCCTCCTATAGTAACACTTCTGCCGTCCCTAGATACCTAGCCCCGATCGCATTAATCGCAAGCTACTTTGCCTTTATAGACGCAAAGGCTTCGCTCTAATACTAATAAAGAAACTTCTACTCTATATCGAGGATATAAAGACGACTAGTCTCGATTCTAATCCTTACTAGCTTTTTATAGTAGCTTTAACTATAATTTTCTAGATTAATAGGACTTATATCTTAGCCCTTTACTAGTATCTCGTCTCTTTAACTATGCTCGATCCACTCCTAGCGCTTATCGTCTATAGCGTTAGGCCCTAAGACTGTATCTGTTACTAGATCGACGTATAGTATCTCCTCGCTTTTTTCAGTTCCTTTATTCGTAGTATTAAGCTCTATCGCGGCATCCTAAACTCTAGTATTGTTATTCTCGGCTATCTAAACATCTCCGTTACTATCGGTCGTATCGATAGAGGTAGCGACTATAGGTCTGAATGCTATTAGTTAACGTGTCAAAGAAAAATATGCCGGCTATAGCTGCCGGCTATAGCTGCTAGCTACGGCCGCTAGCTAGATTAACTTACGCTGCTAGAACTTTACGCTCGAAAACTAGCCGCAATTCTTTCCTCCTCTTAGCCTTCTCTTAGGTTATCTTCTTATTCTAACCTTTACTTTTTTCTATAGGCGCTAGCTATCGATAGAATGCCTTATTCCGCGCCTTTCTTCTCTTATCCTTAGCTCTTTTATCCTTATCTATCTTGTCCTTTCTCTCGCGGTCTCGTACGGAATTCTTCTTCGTAGAGTACTCCTCTTTAGTCTTACGCTTTTTAGTTAGACGCTTAGGCAAAACAAACTCGCGGTCTTTAGTTCTATCTTCTGTTTAGCGCGCGGCGCGCTTCTCTCTTACTATTGTAAGGGAAAGGGGCGGGGGCGCAGCGTATAGTAGTTATTATCGGTATAGGTATAGAGGAAGAAGTTGAAAGTATAAGAATATCGCGAAGCCCTAATTGTTGCCGCCTACGTAACGTTATATAGGTAAGCTTTCGCAACTACGGCAACTACGCCCCGGCAATAGCAACTACGCCCTAGCAACGGCAACTACGCCCTAGCAACGGCAACTACGCCCTAGCAACGGTAATAAAGCGTAGTAAATACAACCTAGTAACTATTATAGCCGGCAATCGTAGCCGGCAGTCGAATAAGAGTGTCCTTGTAGCAAAACTACGCCCTAGCAACGGCAACTACGCCCTAGCAACGGTAAAAGAGCGTAGTAAATATAATAGAGTTACTATTATAGCCGGCAATCGTAGCCGGCAGTCGAATAAGAGTATCCTTGTAGTAAAACCAATACAGTCTCTAGTTCAAACTAGGAATCTATATAGTTCGAAAAAACTAAACCGGAACTAGGGAGCTAGTTCGCCGCTAAGAAACCAAACTATATACGTTTAGTAGTTCGGAAACCGAACCACTGCGGGGTCTAGACTCTACTACTCGAAGCGATACTAATAATCCGTTATATTGAACTTTGGCTTTATTACCTTATCGAGCAGGTGCTAGAAACGCCGAGCAATGTAAGCATCGGCGATATGCGGGTACTTACGAAGGTTCTCTCGTACTATCTTAACTCGCTCTAAAGGGCTCAGTTGCTTCTATCGATCGTATCTAGGCATAAGCCGAGCTAAAGAATCCTATTAAAGGTCCGTAGCGCTTATAGTATAGAAGAGTAACGGCTTGCTAAGCGTACGAACGTAGGTTTCTAAATTAATACGGCGACTATTCTAGTATAGTCGAGTGCCTCGAATTTGCCTACCGACCTTAACGACAGAATTGATAAGCTTCTAGGCCTCTCTATCCTTTGGATTAGTAGTAAGTGCAGCCTCTAATGTCTCTATAGTAACTTCGGTGCTATCTTTCTAGTATCGATTAGCGAAGAAGGCGGCAGCATTAAGCATATAGTATCGTATACCCTTATTGAACACAAAGTATAGCTAGCGCTTATAAGAAGCAAATCGATTATCGTAGAACCGCATATAGTAGTCGATAGCCTATTAATAGGTTACAGCTCTCGGGCGTAGCTAGTTTAGATCTCCCTTCCCTTATAGAAGTAGGGCTAGAAATGCTATAGCTATTAAAGGATAGGAACGATCGAGTTCGTTAATAGGAATCTTAGAGTAGTTAGGCTAAGTAATATGCGACAACTATAGAGGCTGCTAGGGTCCTTCTACTACTAGGCTATTGTTCTCTACTCGTCTCTACCGAAGTCGATCTCGCAACTACTTAATAGCGCAGTGCTAAGGATAAAGGTTAGGCATAGTAGCATACTCGTAGCCGATATCCTCGTCCGGATCTAGAATGCCTACGCCCTATATAAGACCTTAGTCGATACGATGCGTAACAACTAGTTATGCTTCTATCGTAGGAGCGGGCCGGGCGTATACGTAATCGATACAGTTGTCGCGATTGCAAACACTACTGTTATTAAACTGCTAGATTAGTACTAACTATAGACCGTTTACTCTACTAATATAGGAGAATTGATTACGCGTACTAATATAATCGCCGAAAACATAGTATCGCTGCTCTCGTACCTAGTTCGCGTCTAGAAGACTATTCTTACAATAGTAGCATTTAGTATAGCCGCGTGCTTGTATAGGACGCGGGTAATAACACCTAGCGTAGAGAAAGTACTTCGGAGGAGGCGGGTAATCGTTAGCGGGTATAGCGGTCTCGATATACTCCGCGGATTCGAGCTAGTCCTCGATAGTATTATTATCCGGCAATTGCGATAATGCTACCTAATCAATCGAAATTTCCCGATAGTATAGATTGTTCGCCTTAAGCTAGTCGAGCGTATTAAGAACCTTAGAACGCCGAATACGAAAGTCTTCTCGAAATTGGCGGCGCTTACGTTGTTTATCTTTAGCGCGAGCGCTAGTAGTGCCTATTGCCTCTGCCTCTGCCTCTGCCTCTTCCTTTTCCTCTATCGCTAGCTTAGCTTAGGCGCGTTGCCGCGGACGAAGCATAACTAGGTCCAACTCCTTTAGAATACGTAGAAGCTTGTAGTATATAGTAACGATATCCTTCAAGAAGTTGCAGATATGCCTACGATATTGCTACTACTATCTACGTATATAGAAGACAGACATCTATACGTAAACCCGGGCAATTAGCAACTCTTCTACCGTAGTAAGGCTAATTAACTCTTCTAGTACGCGACTAGGATGCATATTGTTGCTATCGCTAAACAGGAATGGATCTTTAGGCTAAATATTCTTATCTCGGTTAACGTATCGACTGCAGATCCTACTATTCTACTCGATATTCAAACTAAACTAGCGCTCCGAGCAGCGGTTATAGCTTTCGAGAGTGTCTTCGTCTATTGCCCGATAGAAATCATACATTAAGTGTTTATCTTAGAAATCAAGTGCTTCGGTAATAGCTTGCTTATTAACGGGTATAAAAGACAGTTTATAATGCGCTAGGAATCGATCCCGTCGATCTCGAAGTGTTCTCTTACTATAGGATAGAGCATCCCGTAGTTTACGGGTAGGCTATATACCCGACGAGAGATAGCTCTAAGAAGAAGTAGAATGCTAAGTGCTATCGAGGAGGGGAAAGTCGGATAGAGTAGATCCTAGAAGGAAATTGCTACTAGCTCCCTCTCCGCCCTAACCTAGTATCGATAGAGTACGTGCTAAAGAGGCATTCTATCTAGGAAAGTGCTATAGACAGGACGTCTTGAGTTTAGGCAAAGGAGGTCGCTAGAAACTGAAACGATTGCTATTATGCTTCCCGTCGATACACTACTTGTTCTCGGCAATAGGGTCCTCGTCGAGAATATAACGCTTATACTAGAAATACTAATCTTCCTAGATGCCGCATTAATCTTCCTATAGCCGCGGGTAGCCGCATTCGACGCACATAAACCATAGTTATAGTAATTTAGTACCCTTAGGTTCCTAGGCCAGAGTTTGATATATCTTATTAGCCCTACTGCCCTTACTAACCTAACGAGCAGAGCGTGCCTTATACCGGGACTGCCGGCTATTGACTATAGCTATATACTAAGCGTAGGAAGTCTGTAGGCTAGGCTAGCTTAACGGATAGTAAGGGCGAGGCGGTAGTGCTATAGGAGGAACGCTAATTCTAAGAGTACCTAGACTAGGTATAGCCGGTACGATAGGGCGATTTCCGCTTGCAGGTATAAGAGTGCGTAATAGACGAGATAATGTATCCGTATCGAAGTGTCTACTTACTATAGTAGCTGTGCGCTTTCTAAGCTTCTTAATCTCCTAATTGCCTTAATTATCCTTGCTAACAACTATGCCGCGACACGCGGCGTATCTCTCTACTAGTATACTACCCTTCTTCCTAGCATTAAGGAATTAGATACTATCCTTAACTTAAGCACAATCCTTATACTTTAAGGTCGGTACCTAAACGCGATCGCTCGGAAAGGGTGTATTCGGTTCTAGCTAAGTAGACGGCGGTAGGACTAACGATAGCAGCGGTAATAACGACGATGCAGGTGTAGGCTGCTAACTAGGCGGTAGCGGCGTCTCTCTAAACCTACCGAGGCGTATAGCTTAAAGTCGTCTACCGCCTATAAAGCGTAGTAGATTAGGTATAGCGATGCGGGCAATAGGAATAGTGTCCTCTTAGTTTAGGTCCTTCGAGTCGGCGACAGGCCTACTATCCGATAACGAGCGCGGCTTCAAGGACATATTATCGGCTTATAAGTCGCTATTAACCGTATTTAGTTGTAATCGGATTGCTATATTATTATCTAAATTAGTAGGAACGAAAGATTAGCAAAGTGTGTATATAGATATAGGAAGGCGAAAGTTAGTCTACGAAAGGAAGTAGTCGCGAGCAGAAGGGACGACGTAACGCGTTTGCTAGTAAATGCAGCTATTCGCGTTGCTATCGGGTCCTACTGTTTCGTTTGCCTATATATAACGCCGCTCGCTATCTATCGGAAGCCCGCCTCGCAATACTATAAAACCTAACGAGCGCCCTACTTTGTATCTAAGTCTATTGCTAACGTTTGTCGCTTAGGGTAGGGGGGAATAGTCGTCGCGGGCTCCTCCTAAACCCCCCGTACCTACCGCTTTAGTATCTACATCATTTTTGCTAACGTTGTCGCTTAGGGTAGGGGGGAATAGTCGTCGTAGGCTCCTCCTAAACCCCCCGTACCTACCGCTTTAGTATCCGCATCGTTTTTGCTAACGTTATCGCTTAGAGTAGGGGGGATAGTCGTCGTAGGCTCCTCCTAAACCCCCCGTACCTACCGCTTTGGTATCCGTATTATCTTTCCTAGCGTTGTCGCTTAGAGGGAGGGGGATAAGCCCCTATCCCTTACCGCTTTAGTATTCGTATTATCTTTCCTAGCGTTATCGCTTAGAGGGAGGGGGACAAGCCCCCGTCCCTTACCGCTTTAGTATTCGTATTATCTTTCCTAACGTTGTCGCTTAGAGGGAGGGGGACAAGCCCCTATCTCTTACCGCTTTAGTATTCGTATTATCTTTCCTAGCGTTGTCGCTTAGAGGGAGGGGGACAAGCCCCCGTCCCTTACCGCTTTAGTATTCGCATTATCTTTCCTAACGTTGTCGCTTAGAGGGAGGGGGACAAGCCCCTATCCCTTACCGCTTTAGTATTCGCATTATCTTTCCTAACGTTGTCGCTTAGAGGGAGGGGGGCAAGCCCCTATCCCTTACCGCTTTAGTATCCGTATATTGCTAGCGATCTCGCTTAAGGCGGATAGGGGAAGGGCATATGCCTACCGCTTTCGTATAACTGTGCGTACATTACGACTAGCTCGGCTAAGGGTGTATTAAGCGCAAGTCCTTTATTAATTGTACGTTGCCGGTACGTCTCGTAGCTTAAGCATTCCTATAATCTACTAAAAGCTGCGATACTATTCTGCTACTAGTAGCCGTAGCTAGTCTCCTAGCTTAGCGAAAGGTGTTCTCGGAGCCTAAGGCAGCCGTCGTTATCGTGTTGATCACTTTTGCTAGCGTAGTTTTACTAGGAATATACTCAATCGACTTAACTCGGTCGGCTTTAGGTCCGGTATCGGTATAGCTTTAGTCTAGCTAGTACAGCATTAGTCTAACTGATTAATAGCAATATCGCGTCCTAGTAGGGAATTGAACCCTTAACTAGTATAGAAACCTTACCTCTCTACCTACTGCCTACCTTTCTAGCTTTTCTTCTAACTGCGCTATTACTATAGGCAGTAACAATAAGGGTATATTGTACTACTGCAATTCATAACATCCGACTAATAACGAAGCGACGCCTAGCTACAACTAGGTATAGGAGTTGCAGTAATCCTTTGCGCCTAGTTATAGTCTCTCGAGGTCTTGTCCTATTCCCTTAGTAATAAGAACTATTCCTACTACGTACGGTCTACTCGGACTTCCCCTAATTAGCTTAGGGCGTAGTCGTAGCCGTAGGGTTCCGGGCCAATTCATTAGCTCTTTCCGAGGTTGCTAGGCCTAATAATCTAGTAGAAGCGACCGCTAATAGTCTAGGTTAGGCAGCCGTTAATTGTCACTAAAATCAGTCCGGCTAATTTTCTATAGCGGCACTTCACTTATAAAGTGTGTAAGGTCGAAGTCTAGTAGTTATGTTTACTTAGTCGATTTGTAACGTATCTTAAAGGATTATAAGCTCGAGGTTCATATCGTATCCGTAAGAGTAATTCCGGGTATTGCCCGTCTATAGTTTTGCTTCCGGTCTTCTAGTCTATCTTTTTTTTAGCCTTAGATACTAGGCGACTAGACTGCTTCTTTACTAGTGCAATGCTGTCTTTAGGTATAGGTACTAGTCGAGTAGACTTCTTTTTCACTAGTATAACACTAGTTTCTTTACTAGTTTCTTTACTAATGCAATACTAGTTTTAGGTTGTCTATCTATCTATCTATAGCACTGTATATAGCTCTGTATCCTCGATTGCGTATAGGATAGGGTTTGTTTTGCTACCGAAGGTCGCTAAGGGTACAGTTTGCGGAGGTATAGTTTACGGAGGTATAGTTTACGGAGGTATAGTTTGCGGAGGTACGCTTAGCGAGGGCTATGCATTTAGCTGTTAGCGCGTCGTAGCATTGTCGCATCGTAGTATTGTCGCATCGTAACGCTAGCGCATTGTATAAAGGGTAGGTAGTCTATAATGGCTTTGTTATTATTGTCCTTTAGCGTATAGAGGTGCAAGTAATGTTAGAATTGCTGCCTAAGGGTAACCCCGTAGGATTCAGCCAATCAGACAAACGGAATTGAGAAGTGCGGGGAGTCACGTGCTAGCTGAGTGCACCTAAGAGCGACTGGCGACCGAGACCGTTATAGTAGTGCGAGCTTCGCTCGCAATCATCTCAGATCCTTCTGCGACATGCTTTCGGCAAGTGCACAAAGATCCCGGGAACCCATGCGGACGAACCATGCGAACTTCCGACGTGTTCACGTGCAGTATGCTTTTGAGGCTTCCACATTCGGTGTAGCCTGCATATCAAACCTTGAAACAGCGGTCTCATTATCATCAAGGTCCAGATGTCCGAATTCTCATCAAGGCATCGATGCAATCTGTGAGCAAAGTGGGTCCGCGAAAATTTCGGTGGCAGCAGTGCAACCAAGGTCTTGATCGTTTACCGTTCACGAATCTCATCGTCTGGTTGATTCGGTGTGTACAAATTCTCGTCTAGATTTGACCTATCCAAGCAGGTCAGTCATTACATCTACAGTCGTTCATGTGAATATGCCAAACACTTGGACTCCTCGCCCATATGCTCTTCGTGCCACATCTATGATCATCACCAGATCTCTAGCAATGTATACTCCACGCTCGCTGTAACGCTGATCAATGAAGCAGTTCGCACCCGCCAGCGAATGAATGCTGGCTGCTATGAGCTCGCATCCAGTGGCTTCTGTCCATAGACAATGTATCTGCGAGCAGTCAGCATTCATCTTATAAATTTGCTCGTGGTGGCATATTACAAAGGAGTGTAGCTGTGGATTGATTTCTTCTTCCATTCCCGCTTCACCTCCATCAGCAACACTTCCATTTCCTCCACGCTCCATCCGAGGCCCATGGTGAAGGTCCGTACGCTCAGCCCACTGACACCTTCCAGGAGACCCACGAGGTACAGTAGTCCTGCTTGCCGTAATCGCGGGTCCTTTGGCCAAGGTCCAACGGGAATTTTGAAAGCTTTGATGGCACAGTTGACGAAACCTGCGGCTTCCATCTTCTGCTTCATTTGCTCGGGGTAGCAGCGTCCTGTTAGGCCAAACTTGCCGACACCTTCGTTCCATAGATCTTCCCAACGCTGCACCGCGCCATCGGCTCTCATGGTGCCATCATCAGAGCCAAAGGCCAGATCAAATTCCTGGTTCTCCACCCAGCCTCCAGGTTGCAAAGAGATGAAGGCCTCGGAATAGAAGTGGTCCCAAGACTTGATGGAGAAGCCGTTCATCAGGCGTGTATGGATGAAGTCGAATTTATTGGTGAAGTCCCATTCTTCGTCGGCATCCATGATCTGGAATTCCAGATTGGGAGGCACTGCGGTAGGCTGTATGGGTGATAAATCAATTCCGACCACTTGTGCAGAAGGGTTGTCGTCGGCTACGTCGAGTGCCCAGATACCTGTCCCTGTGCCTACGTCCAGCACATGCCGAGGACTCTCAAGCGGGCAGTGCCAATGTTTTTCTTCCAGCGTCAAGCGAAGCGCATGATACGTGATGTCCATGCGCTCCTGTTCCTGCTCGTCGTTAGGAAGGGCGTATTTCTTATCGCGCTGAAAGGCGTGGTAGGTCCGGCCATTTTCCTGCTCGTAGTCGAAAATGCTTGACGCAACAGACGCCGTGGAGAGATATCCGTCGTCGTATCCGGAATCGTCACTGAAAGAATCGGCATCTCGTGCCTCCACATTAACATTGCCGAGCTGTGCGCCGGCGGGTCCAGGATTGTCCATGTCGGTCACAGCTACCGACTTCTGCGACTCGTGGCGGGCCGCGAATGTGTCGAAAAGAAAGAAAGCGTGGCGGAGTTGGGCTAGAGTACAAAGACCTTTCGAATTTGGCTGCAGGTATACAGGGTGCAGAATACTGCAGTGACTGCACTTTGCGTCGAACTGCATATCGGGCCATGGCAAAGCCACTCAAGTTAGGAAGCCGACGCCGCGATAGGGGCCTCTATCGTACTGCCTATACTTATAATAGCTAGAGTAGTAGTCTACGTTATCTTTAACGTACTTATATCTCCTATAGGCCGTTTTATATATATAAACGTTCTCGTAGTACTAGTAGTAGTAGAATAGGCCTCCTCGGCTTAGCCTACTATCTTATCGCTTTCTACTAGTTAATAGTAGCCTATCTAGCGGCCTATTTAATTAGCTTAGGTCTAGTAACCTTATACCGAGTCGTACGACTAAGCCGCTTATTAATCCGCTTAAGTAGCTCTAAGATATAGTAAGTAACTATCTTATTACTACTATAATCGCCCCTTAGTACTCGCTAGTACTTCTTAAATATACGAATAGTAATAATACCGGTTATAGACTCCTTAAGTACTAGTATCTAGTATATATAATTTAAGCTATAGACCCTCTAATAATACTAGGTATTATCGAATAGCCTATAGGCTATAATAGTATAACTATAACTATTAGACTTCCGCTTCTTAGGCTTAGCGCGTACGAGAGCCCTTCGCTCGGCCGCTTTACGTAGAGTAAAGGTACTAATATAGCTAATAACTTTAGCGTAGAATAGATCGCCTAAGAATACCGCTACTAGTCGTATAACTATAATCTTATAATAGGGGTTATATTAGTAGGTAGATAGGGTAGTAGTGCGTACAAGTAGTATTCGATAGAGATCTAGGAGGAGAAGGAAGAAGGCAGGCTAGTTAGCCTAACGCTAAGCGCTAAGCCCTACCTAAGGCACTAAGACCCTAGCTTTACTCGAGCTAGTTATATACTAATTACGTGTAACCTCTAATATACGCTTCCCTTCTAAAGGCCGCGCCCTCGTAGCCTATCTATATTCTAATCTCGACCTCCGTTGCCGCTAACTTAGCAGACTAACTAAGCTGTTTAGCCGCGCTAAATTAAACGCTTAACTACCTAATTATGTAACTATATTAAACCTTACCTTCTAATACAATGTTCAACTCTAACTACGCTATTCTTATATATAATAAAGTAATATATATCTACGAGAATTAAGGACTATCGACTAATTATAATACGAGCGCGTCTTCCCTACTATAATAGGTAGGCGTACGAGGTATTGTAGCACTACCTCTATTCTAAGTAATGTCGTACCGAGTTCTTTACGTCTACTCTAAAAGACCTAGAAATATCCGCTCTCGAAGGTTGTTCTTATTATTACAAGGGCTATTATTTACTATCGTAGTTTTACTAGCCCTAATTAGTTAGGTTTAGTAGCCTTTTATTATTAATTAATCTTATCTTTTTAAAAACACAGTTCGTCTAGTTTCTATAGGCAAAGGCTACTACAAGTGTAATAGTTAAGGTTCGCCTTACTTAAAGGGTCGGAAAGATCGAGGAGTAACCTATTATCCGCAAGATCGACCCTAGCTAGCTTAGCTCTATATTTTTGCCCTTAGTTAGTCTATTAGTCGCTTAGCCTTTTTAGTCTCTAAGCCCTTCGAACGGTTTAATCCTTTTAACCTAGCGCCTTAGTCTTAGGCTATAGTATAGGTAAGGTTACTCTCGTAGGTATAGCGATAATAGTAGGTAATATTAATAATAGCGGCGCTAGCCGTCTTAGTACTAACTTTACCTTATTCTTCCTTTCTTCCTTTAACTAGTAATATACTTAGCAATACCGTTACTAGTATAGCCGCGCGCTATCTTCTAATATACCGCTAGCTCGTACTACGACGCTATTATTATTATTATTATTACTATACGCGCGCGCGCCGTCCCCGCCGACTGCCTAGGCCTCGGAGCCTTAATAGGATAAAGGAATAAGAGGGGGCCTATAGGGTGCGCTAGTAAAGAGGTAGATTCCTTAAAAGCGTAGAGGATTAGTCGATAGTTATAGCGCGCTCGTTAATACTCGGTACGCGTTTACTATAGTAGTATAGTCTTATCTTTACTAACAATTGCTCGCCTCTAATTAGTTAGCTAATAGCACCCCGGGGGTAGTATTAATCCTAGGCCTTTCTAGTAATATTATAGGCCCTTAGCCTTCTTCTTGTTCTTTACGCTAGTTTAATACTCGTCTTACAACTTAGCTATATCCTTAAAGGAGCCTTTAGCTTCCTACGAGTCCTATTTAGGTAAATAGCCTTACTATCTTAATAGGTACTCCTTCTTGCCCTTCCTAGTCCGATACTTTAGTATACGCTCTATAGACTATAGCTCTTTACTATCGGCTAAGACTTCTTCTAACTTAGTAGGCGCTTTATCGCCTTCGCGCTAATAGTATAGTTTAAAGAGGGATATATAGAAGGTATTATAGATAGTATAATAAGGAGGAAGCTATAACTAGTAGGCCTATATGCCCTTAGCCTCTCGGATACGAAATAGGCTAATGTATCTTAGTGCGAGCTTAGGCCTTGCTCTACTATTAGGTAATAGATATTTGCGGATACGGAGGTTCTTCGTGCTAAGTATAACTATATTGCCTTGTTTAAAGGTTATTAGTATATAGCGCTTATTGTAGTAGGTCTTTTAGTACTCTTAAGCCTTTGTTAGCTTCTTAGCTATCTTAGTATAGATTTCTCGTATCTTCTAGATACGTTCTATTATCGCTAGTGTTTCTAGTACTTAACGCGCTTCCCTTTCCTTACGCTCGGCCTCGAGCGAGGTAAATAGGTCTTATAGTAAGGCAACGTTTTAGCCTATTATAGCTATATAGGGTAAGACCTTAGTTAATAAGTATATACTGTTGTTATATACGAATTCCGTAGGTTATAGGAGGTTGACCTAATCCTCGGGGTTCTTATTAATGTAGCTGCGTAGGTGCTACTATAGGGTAGCATTCTGCCTCTCGGTCTAGCTACCTATCTATAGATAGAACGCTATAGATAGGCGATACTTTAGTCTTAGCTATAGGCATATTTCGCTCTAATAGTGTAATATTAGTATCGATCTACGATTAGACACTATCCCCTTAGGGGTTCCCTAATAGGTATAGAAGATGTTATTCTATAGCGCTTCTACTATATTAATAGCAGTCTAATCCTTCCGCGCCGGGATATATCGAGCGCCTTTAGTAAATCGATCTACTATAATAAGGATAGTATTATATATATCCTTGCTACCCCTACGTTTAGTAGGCGGAAGGCCTATAATAAAGTCTATTATAAGCTCTATAAATAGTTTCTTTAAAATAGGAAGTAAAGACAACTCGCCGAATAGTAAGTGCTTTAGTGCTTTAACTCGCTAGCATACTATATAGGTCTGTATATATTCCTTTATATGCCGCTTACTATTTAGCTAGTAGTATATACGCGATAGTAGCTCGTACGACCTCTCTATACTATAGTAACTAGCAAGCTTACTATTATAGTGTCGCTTTAAAAGCTCTTATCTAATCGATTGTTTAGCGGGGATATAGTACCTACCCTTAAACTTTAAGTAACCCTTGTTATCGATCGACTAGTTACTCTTACTAAATCGAGTCGTTCGCCTACTTATAAGCTTATCGATACGTTTAGTAGTAAAGGCGTCCCTCTACTAAGTATATAACAGCTTATCTATAAACGATTAACTATCCCTATTTGCAAGGTTATTTAATAGTACCCTTGCTATCGAACGAGGTACGTATTATATATATCTAATAGTGCTAGCAGCCGGATTAACTATAGTAGTACCTTTATCGCTATTACTATATATAGCGATATCGACTAGGGAGTTATTATAGCTCTTCCTATCGGTATTATTAGCCCTTGCCTTAATACGTACTATTAATATAGTAAGAGCATTAATATGCTTTAAGCCGTTACGGAGTCCGGTAAGCCGCTTATCCTACGCTTGCTTATTAATAATATAGGCTATAGCAATCTTATACTATAGGGTTAGAAACAATGAATTAATATACTAAGTCTCGCTATTATAATTAGGTCGCCTCGATAGGCTATTAGTAGGGTTACTTACGCCTAGCCGATATAATATATTAAAATCGAACCTAGCGAGGTAGACGGCCTATCTAGCCTATCGACCTATAACCCTAGTAACCTTCGTAATTCTACGAAGGTTGTTATAGTCCGTATAGACCTAAATAGTATACTAAGCACTATCGAGATAGTAGCGCTAGTGCTTAAAGGCTTCTACGATTACTAAGAGCTCTTGCTCGTAGGTCTCGTACTAACGTTCTATATCGATTATCTCCTATAAAAAGAAGGCAATTAGGTACTAATAGTAGTCCTTATCTAACTGCTAGGACATTATAGCCAATATAGCGAACTGCGAAGCGTTAGTCTTAATACGAATCTGCTTATTTAGTGCGAAATAGTATAACAAGGGGACTTTAGTAAAGCGTTACTTCAAACCGTTAAAAGCGGCTTGTGCTTTGTTAGTCTATTTAAACTCTCTAGTTAGGTTAGCCTTAGTTTTAGTAAGCTTAGTTAGCGGCATTATATACCGTAAATAGCCTATAATAAAGCGGCGATAGAAGTTAGCGAAGCTAAGGAACGACTATAGCTCCTTAATTAACGTAGGAATAGGCTATTTAGTAATAGTTTAGATATAGTTAGGGTCGGCCTTAACGCCCTTAGTTAATACGAGGAAGCTAAGGAAGGCTACCTCCTTAGTGGCAAAGGTATATTTAGAAGGCTTATAATATAGTCTATAGGTCTATAGGCGGTCGAGCACCTTGCGTACTATAGCCTAGTACTCTGCAATATTAGGTAAATAGGTATAAACTAGGATATTATCTAGATAAACTATATAGAGATAGTCTAGTAGGCCTAACAAGGCCCGATTAAAATAGGACTAGAATG